CACGTTATTAAATTTAAGAATTAAAAAATAATAATAAAAAAAATCAACACTGCTTTTGTCCTTAAGAGGAAAAAAAAAAAAAAAAAAAAAAAAAGTGAGTTTCTAAGAGAAGAAACAAACTGAGTAAAATCTGTTAGAAATTCCTCCGGGGCTTTCTCTGTACATTGTAGCACAGCTAAAAAAAAAAAAAAAAAAAGTGAGTTTCTAAGAGAAGAAACAAACTGAGTAAAATCTGTTAGAAATTCCTCCGGGGCTTTCTCTGTACATTGTAGCACAGCTTAAAAAAAAAAAAAAAAAAGTGAGTTTCTAAGAGAAGAAACAAACTGAGTAAAATCTGTTAGAAATTCCTCCGGGGCTTTCTCTGTACATTGTAGCACAGCTTAAAAAAAAAAAAAAAAAAGTGAGTTTCTAAGAGAAGAAACAAACTGAGTAAAATCTGTTAGAAATTCCTCCGGGGCTTTCTCTGTACATTGTAGCACAGCTTAAAAAAAAAAAAAAAAAAGTGAGTTTCTAAGAGAAGAAACAAACTGAGTAAAATCTGTTAGAAATTCCTCCGGGGCTTTCTCTGTACATTGTAGCACAGCTTAAAAAAAAAAAAAAAAAAGTGAGTTTCTAAGAGAAGAAACAAACTGAGTAAAATCTGTTAGAAATTCCTCCGGGGCTTTCTCTGTACATTGTAGCACAGCTTAAAAAAAAAAAAAAAAAAAGTAAAAAAGACAAGACAAAGCCTATCGTGCATTTCCACCCTGTTCAAAGGGCCTGCCTTCACCTCAGCCCCCAAAGGCACAGAGACACATTCCACACTGATAAATGAATAACAAAAAGCAACAAAGCAGTAAATGGTGCTATTTCGAAGGCAAAAAACACACAGTACTAAACCCAGCTCTATTGACCCCTTTAATGAAACTCCTCCACCACACAAAAGGCCCGAGGTGGACCAGACCTTCCAGGCTCTGGTAAACAATAATGTGTTAATGACACTAATACTTTGCTTTTTGTGTGTTCCAGCTGCCTCCCCTTGCCCCAAGGGTTGTACCTTAACACCCAAGGAAGAGCGGTGACACCAAGACTTCCACAGTTGACAGGAGACACCGGTCACCAGCAAAATTTTTTCACTGCTCCTCTTTGCAAACCTTGTCATGGGCTCTCGCTGGGCTCAAAGTGGTGGTTGCCCAGTGGCCACCCCGATGCCAGAGCTTTCACCAAGGCAAGGCATTTTTTTTTCAGGGAAGGGAAGAAAAGTTTTCTATACCACAATCACATTTTGCAATGCTCCTCGGGACTTGAATTTCTAAGAAGGGAAGGTGAAAAAAAGAAATAAAGGAAAAAAGAAAGCAAATCAATGTGATAAAATTAGAAAACAGATGAAAAAAGCTAAGAGAGATTTCCCTCCTGCTGATCATCTTAAAAACTACCAGGCCAGAAGGTAGAATTCAACTCCCAACAGCATGACACTGGATATTCCTGCATTTCATTCCAACAGCTGCATTTGGAAAATATTCAGCAGAACCTATTGCCATTCCCTGTGCTGAAAGGGTAACACATATGAGGAGGATTCCTGCTGTAACAGGCCTTTTACACCTTGGCTTTTCATGAATCTCTTGACCTCCGCTATCTCTATATTCTGGTTTTTCATTTCTCCTGAGGGTGCCATTTCCACATCACACAAACACAGCCGTCACTGGTGCCATTTGACACTACATGGACAAATACACAACGTTTTCGGCACATCCTTTTTTATCGTCCTGGGCAAATGTGCCGTTTGCACTTGGGTGACGTGGCAATGACACAACTGTTGTGACAGATGGGCACAGTGACTGAGAACAACCTGCCATTAGGTCCTGCTGACTCACCTGCCTTGCCCTGATGGAGGGAGATCTTCCAACTGGCCTCACTTGCAAAATCACAGAATGGTATGGGGTTGGAAAGGACCTCTGGAGATCATCCAGTCCAACCCCCTGCCAGAGTAGGTTGCACGGGACCATGTCCAGGCAAGCTTTGAACGTCTCCAGAGATGGAGATTCCACCACCTCTCTGGGCAGCCTCTTCCAGTGCTCTTGGCACCCTCAAAGGAAAGAAGTTCCTCCTCATGTTTAGATGGAACTTCCACGGATGGAACTCACGCCATTTGCTTTCCCAGAGGGTCACGTTAGGCAACCACTCTTAATGATGTGCACCAAAATGCTGCAAGTGCTTCCATGCTCCCACGTCTCCTTAATTACTGCAGATGGTATTAATGTGGGTTACACCACCTACTAATCCAGGCATTCAGAGTTCTGTCAGCAGAGCGCAGGTAGTTCTATGTCCCAGGGACAGGAGAGGGGAAGGATGTTATTTTCTCACCTCCCCATGGCAGGCACTGGTAGCAGGAGGAAAAGCACAGACACCTGGCAGAAGAGCATGCTCTGAAGTCACTGAAGCATGTTCTTGTGAAGTCCGAGTCCTGCTGCTGCATTAATCACATTATGAAATAAACGAGAAGGCAGGGGAAGTAGTTTCCCATTTCAGCTGCTGGGAAGCCATTCCTTCTTCTCACCTTCAGACCTTGGAACGGAGGTCATCCTGGCTTGGATCTACACCTGCATTTCTTCTCAGAGGTGCCACTGCATCTCCAAAACAATCGTTTCTGGAAAAGTGGCCTGGCATTCATTTGAAAGTAAAAGACCACACAAGCTCTTGGTCAGATGCACAAAGTCCACAACAAACTTATTTTTTTGTTATGGGCATAACAGACGGAGTGAGAGTATAATGGACTAAGTTAGGGGCCTCACCACATATATAAAAGCAATTTAAGCAAAATACTAAGTGGGATATAAATTGGCCACAAAAAAAAAAAAAACACTTCAGCAGAACATTATGTCACCAGAAGTCATAGAGGGAGGTCTTTAACAGTCTTCCAGAAAGCAAGCTGAAGCAGACCTCCATAGTTATGAACATTGCACAACTCATTTTATAACACAAGTACAACTCTTTATGGCATTGAGAAAGTTTGATGTGCCCAGAGGTCTTTTTCACATATAAATTATTTGAGGCTTCCCCCCTGCCTTTCCTCTAATTAGAAACAGAAGGGGCAAGGGGTGGATTTCATTAAAGGCTGTACCAACTGATTAAGCGATTGCTTTATGGTTAAGGTACAGGGTTGGGAGACCTGTGGTGTCTTTATTTCTCTCAGCTGCTTCTTTTCTGCATCAATGTGGGCAAGTCACAAACAATTTCCACTGACTGCCGATCGGTCGGCCTGGGCCGGCTTCCTTCAGGTTCCCCAGTTCCTATAAACCCGCACAGACCATCTTAACATCTGCGAGTCATTGTCCAACGGAGCCTCCAGCCACGCTAAATAAAGATAAAACGGTTAAATATTTATACGTCGCTGCTTTTTGTAGTTTAACAATTAGATCCGCAGTCACTCCTCAGCATCCCTCCTCTGAAAAAAGCAGAGGATGTTCACGGGACCTACTGTCTTTGACAACTTGTTCCTTTCAACTAGCTTTGACAGAAATGGGGCTAACTATTCACCCAGCTTTGCTTTGTGCACGTAGGCCAAAAGCAAGGCCTCCAGTGGTTGTCACTGCACTGCTCTTCTCAGCCTGGCCCTGGGGACAGGCAGGCTGTGTGCCTGGTCACCAGTGCCTGCTCTCAGCAGCAGCTCCGCTTTGCGGTGGGACAAGCTGGCAGCAGCAGCAGCACCTGAATTCACAGGAGATTTCACTGCAGGACAGTCACAGGGATCTCTTACAGTCCCCAAAGGGGGACTTGTTTGGCTTTTTTGGGGGGGGACTGGAGGGGGAAAGGGAGGAGATCTCCCTCACAAATTAACTAACCCCATTCTCGTGTTCTCTGATTTCAGAGACTGACAAAAGGCTGAGAGAGTTGGGGATGTTCAGCCTGGAGAAGAGAAGGCTCTGGGGAGACCTTAGGTACTGGAAGGAGCTCTAAAGGGGCTACAAGAATGGGGAGGGACTCCTGATCAGGGAGGGGTGCCACAGGACGAGGGCCAGTGGGGTGGGACAGTTTTAAATTGAAAGAGGGGAGATTTAGATGAGATCTCAGGAAGAAATTCTTTCCTGTGAGGGTGGTGAGACACTGGAACAGGTTGCCCAGAGAAGCTGTAGATGCCTCTTCCCTGGAAGTGCTGCTCAAGACCAGGCTGGATGGGTCTTTGAGCAACCTGGTCTGGTGGGAGGTGTCCCTGCCCATGGCAGGGGGTGGGACCAGATGATCTTTAAGGTCCCTTCCAAACTAAACCATTCCATGATTCCATGAAGATTATACTGAAGTGACTGACCCAAAGTTTCTGTTGGAAGTAAAACAATGATTAGCCACTGGTCAAGCTACTGAAGAACCACAAGACAAAGACCACTCTTGTCACTATCTCTCAAAATCCATTAGCACCAACCTCAATCAGTTCTCTGGTGTTGAACTGTCCTCAACTGTACATATGACTTGCCCAGTCCTTCCACATTTCCTTCTCTCCCCGACAGCAGATTTGTTTTTCATCTACAGCTCCTCATCCTCCTCTCCTTCAGGGGTCCTGGAAACAGCTGCACCACAAGGAACCACTTTGACTTCGAACTTTTCAAAAGGCACTGGGGACACGACAACATTTTAAGAATGGATCTGCTGTTTCCACAGAGGTTACCAAAGACAGAAGCTGCAACTGTCAGAATGAGCTTGAACTGTCCCTTCTTGGGAAGGGAACTGTCATAGTGGAGCAGACACTGAATGCAGAGCTGTCCCTGGGGATCACCTCAGGGAAATCAGTTAATTTGGAAGAAAAACAACTGATGTTGCTCTATAATAAAGTACTCCCATATTGCTCCATGACTTACTGAAAGTGAGAGGTAACAAACATCACTAAACATTGAAATTATTAGTTTATACTGACGTTTCAAGACAGGGAATTCAAGACTACAGCAGACCTCACACCAGGCCACGATGAGCCCAAACTCAACTTAGGGCTTTGTTAGGACTCGAGTCTACAACAACCAACTTACATCACGTTGAAGGTAGATATTTCAAGGAGGTTTATTGGGGCTAATACTAAATTCAAACAGCCACAAGTCATTTTCCATGTTTACCACACCAACTGTTGACAGATCAAATCTCAGTGGAAAGTCCAAATTTTCATTTCGCCATGACTTCCTGAAACGTGACTACAGATTTCAATATTTGGCATTTGATCTTCAGAGAGAGAGACAGCACGTTTAAGAACATTCTACCAAATACATTTAAATTGTGACTCAAAACCAAAACAATTTGGAAGTTTTGAAACATAAAGATGTTAGTATGAAATTAGCTTTTATTTTTTTACCTCAAAATAAATGCACATTTATCATTTATTCAAACGAAAACTGGAAAAGGGTATAGTTTTAAACAAGAGGAGACCTTAACAGAGCAAGTATCGCAAACATCCTCAGGTTCCTTATCCTGCTATTGCCCAGCTCTGTTTGGCTAAAAAAAACATGCTTGATTTTTATTTCTTTTTTTTTTTTGTCAGTTTGGTCAATTAAAAGGAACACTTGAAAGCCCCCAAATTAGAAGTGGTATATAAAACAAAACCGGGTACTCGTTCTCATCAGAATTCAGGTCCATGTGTTGCCACACATTTATATAAAACTTTCACTAAGTGTAGTACTAAATAGGACTTAGTAACCTCTTCTGCAGTTTAGCTCTTGATATCTTGGTAAGAGAAGTCAATGCGTAAGCATGTCAGAAGTCAACGCTATCGTGTAACTACAGTATAACTCTAATAGGGCTTCTAAATACTGTTCACCAGAGTGACGTCTTATAGTTGAATTTCAGTTTCAGCAGGTACTTCAGATTTACCTGAGCAACATCATACACAATATATCTGGGAAGAAAGTTAAGGAACAATTACAGTTGTTGATATCAGTAACACAGAAAAACCCTCAAAACACAAGTTGAACCTCATCTTTGAACTTAATTTACCACACAGATGCCTGTGGGATTAAACAGTTCTAACAGCTCAAACCACAAACCTTTAAATACAAATTTTCTTTAAACTTGCTTGTTAGAAACAAGCAACTACCAGGCACATGGAGAATTAATGATGGTGCAGCAGGAATCCTGAACGACAAGCAGGTGAACTGACTGAGATATGGGGCTGTAGCTCTTGAATATTATTTTTTGTCCCCCAGAGCTATAACACACAACATCTCTCTCGCTATCTAAACAGTGAGGAACGTAGCTTAGATGAGCTCTGCAGTTACAGACCTGGCATCTACACTTACAATTGTAGTTTTATTGCTACCTTCCAGTAAATTCATTAATGTCCTCTTGGTTTCCCACTAAAAACCCCAACTGGAATCACAGAGAGCTCTACAATGGTTGGCAGCACTTGCACGCTCTGTGATTGCACCGTTTTATTTTTTCAGAAGACAGTCACAGCTCTAGTGTTTCTCAATTGCTTTAGGCCTCAAACTTACTTCCAATCCCAATTTTAGATTAAAAGCATCCCCATTAAACACATCATGTTACCTCAATTAGCTGTTATTAACTGTATTATATTTTATCATCTGACTAAGACAGATGCTATATTTAAGAAAACTCAAGCTAAAAACAGTATTGCTGTGAGTTCTGTTGCCAAGACTGGAATAAAGAGGAGGTATGAGGAAACAGCTTACCCAAAGAGAAGACAGTTTCCACACAACCCAGAGGTTGTACTGATGGGTTATTTCCTTCACTGATGGGTTATTTGCTTCACTGGCAATGAAGAGACCAATCAGGGACCTCAGACATCACTTATGCTTATGATCTCTTGTGAATGTTGAGCACACATTCATGTGGGGGCACTTCTGCCTAGAAAGATGCTTAATGGCTACATCTCTGATGAGCATCTGAGATTCACCTCAACACTTGCAAAGGGTCAGGGGAACACAGGAGAAACCGTGTGATGAGACTGCATCAAGCACAAGGGCTAGCTCTCCCAGTTCCTCCTGGCCAAGCTGGGTCAGCCACAGCCCCAAAAGGAAGAAACCAAGCTGAAGTGATGGGAAACAACCACAAGGTTGCATTTCCTTCCCCTTGTCCTGGCACATGTCTGGGCAGGACACTACTGGGCACTGTTGCTTGGCCATTCCAATGCCTTCAGGTACTAAGCCTTGTCTGGACAACAGCTTTTTGCTAGGTGTGCTGTTTCCTTTTGTGCAGAATGACAATTTAAATATGACAACTGTAAAATTATCTCCCTTGGAGAAGAGCCTCTGAATTGTCAAAGCTCCTGACCGACATTAGCGAGGTCCTGCTAAACCTGGCAGCGCTCAAACAGAGCGTGCGGCCAACGTAACGGCAAAGGATACTCATTATACAGAAGACAGGTATCATTAATTCCTGTTGAGATCCCATTCCCTAAGGGAACCTCAACACCACCAAGGGTGGTAGTGGCAGTGGGATCAGGTGCAGTTTTGCCCAAGCCTAGAAAGAGACAAAACATCAGTTACGAATCTCAAAGGCAAACATGGACTTTGCACATAAAGAAAATTATTCCACCAGCCAAATATTACTTCACAAATGCTGATCAAGTGCAAAAGGATCTTAAAAAGAACACAAAGGATATAGTCTGTTTATTCAGTTCAGCATCACCATACTCATGGCACTCATACTCTGCTACATTAGAAGTGAGAATTTTAAGACTTTTGGCTGTTAATTGTCTAATCTGTATGATCAAAGCTAAACCAGACCACACTTACAGCTCTCATATCTTAGGTCCATTAGTGAAAACATGCACGTTGCAGCATTTTCAGAGAAGTGTAACAAACCAATTCTTATTCTCTTTAAACTCTTCAATACAAATCTGATTTGACATCCATAATAGTTAGAGTACTATGTATTGAAAAAGACGCTAAATCAAATTTTATTTTATTTTAGGCAACTGATTTTTTTAAGCCTCTCAAAATGAATAGTTTAAGAAAAGCCAGTCATTACTGAATGTTACTGTTCTCTGCTCTCCCATCTCAATACAGAAGACAGTCATGATTACCATTTCTTTAACTTGAATTACAGAGCTAAGTCTGTTCTCTCATCTTCTTTTGCAGTGCAATATACTGATACTTCTTGCAGATAGAAATTTAATGAGAACAGCTGTTCCTTCTGAACTTATTCTTAGATTTTCCCTTCTCTCCAAACTTCCAAGGCACTTTGAAAGCTAAACAATTATTCTTCTGATCTATCAAATCTCTCATCTTTCTAAAATACAGAGTATTGTTATGATGAAAGCAGCTGAAATGTAAGAGAATGCACCTTACATCTTCTCTTGGGCAATATGAAATGAAAGTTTCCTCCTGAACTTCAGGCAACACATTAACTTCAGTCTTAACATTCCAAGTGTACTAAGTCCACCTCAAAACACCATATATACATACACAGATGCAACTATAGGGCAACACTGTGCAAACTTTTAAAGTAAGTACAACTTACTGCAGTAAGTACATGAAATGACTATAGTTCTCTTTGCTAAGCAGAGAGTCACCAGGTGAGTTTGCAATCGATAACAGATCACCAAGGACAACTACTAATGCTTACCCTTCACGCTGTGTTTTCCCTTGGGCAATTTTGTTATGTGAGAAGCATTCTTTAGCTCGTACCTGGACAGCACAAAGAACACACAACAGCATTTTACATTCATCTTAAACTATCTTGGTGACATTTTTTTTTAATTATTACTATTATTTTATTTTCCCAGGCTTCACTTTACTGTGAATTAATATAAAATTAATTTAGATTCTACTCTTCTGGAACTTAACATCCTTCCTTGTCTCAGTTACTAGTTTTAATGATATTAGCATTTAGAATAAGATTCTAGACTTGCAACACAGATTTTTTTTGCCCTACCAAACAGCTCTCATTTAAAAAAAAAACAACCACAAAACACCACTTCCTTCTAATGAAATACAAAGTGCTTTTTCTTCACACTGAAGAAAAGGCTTGCAATTTTAACATCATCTTCTACCATGATATATTAAGCATGTTTTGGCAAACGCTCTTCCTAAGTTACTTACATATTTCCAAGGGCAACTTCTCCCAGTAGAACTAAACCTATGGGATCAGCCTGAGATGTGTGACAGTAGTTGGCACTCTTGGATACCATGTCTGCAAAATAGATGCCCTTCCCAAACATGTAGCCAGTCTGCAAGCAGCAAAAAGGAAAAAAAAAAAAAATAAGGGGGGATTGGAAAAGATTGGGACGGTAACACAAAGGCAGCATTGAATCCACCTGGCTGGTGGCCACAGGGATGAGGGCAGCCAGGGAAGCCATCTGACGTACCACAGGAGCTTCTGGGGGAGCTATCCGGAGACCCTGCGAGAGGATACCGGCGAAGTTGGTGGTGCGGGAGCCGTGCCACAGCAGCTGGCGATTATGGAGCTGCTTAAAGGGCTTATAACGCTGACTCTCTCCTTCACGCTCAATCCTGAAGATCTTCGGTTCGGAGAGGGATAGGAGAAAAAAGAGCAACCAAGCAAAATAAACCATTACCTGCGTGCAACTAATCGGATGAAAAAAAATCATCCCATCTCAAATATGCATTAATCTGGTAGGAAAATCGATCTAGGTTGTGCTCAGTATTTGCAGTTTGCCATGTCATGCTAGCAAAAACGAGGTAGCATTGATCACACGGTACTTGTTATCGATTACTTCTCCACCTTCCCTTCTGCATTTTCATGAGACCATAGTTTTCTGAAAAATCATTCAATGGACTAAGGCTCAATTTTAGAGGATGATTACTCCTCCACCTCCTTTTTGAGGCCAATTTAATTAAAATAATAACACACGCCCAAAGACACCCCAGTAAGCTTAGATTCATCTCTGCCTAGGCCTCCCCTACTCTATAAAATAGCAATTGGTCTACCAAACCATCCCTTCAACAAAGGAAACTAAGATAAGCTACTCAAAAATAAAAGGAAACTGCAAACAAGTAAGTCGACTTGTTTGTCCATCTTCACAAACTTAAACCCCAGTATTGCCCAGCTTACATCCACGACTTTGAGGTCATAAGCATTGTGCGTAGCAGCATGAGTATTTTTCACATATTGTTTAATAATCTTGGCTTCTTCTGAATCTTTGTCAACAACCTGCAAAGAGACAAACAAGAGAAGTTTCTTAAGCACACAAACTAGCAGGCACCCTATAATATCATGAGATCCACCCTATGCTTGCAACTCCCCAGTTTCAGCCTCCTTTATTATTTAGGTGGGAATTTATTCCCATCTAGAGGAAACGTACAGGGATATAGACAGGACAGAATGTCTGAGACAGGAAGGCACCTCTGGAAACTGAGATAATTTCCAACTCCCCTGCTCAAAGCGGGGGCAGCTGGAGGAGGTTGCCAAGGGTTGAGTTCACTCAGGCTTTTAACACCTCTGAGAGCAGAGCCTCCACAGCCTCTCTGGGCAACCTTTTCCAGTGTTTCAGCGGGAAACAAACAAACAAAGAACCCCAAACCAAACACCATCAATAACAAAACCATTTTCTTTTGTTTAAATACAATTTCCTGTATTTCATTTTGTGCCCGTTGCCTCTTGTCACTGGATACCACTGAAGAGAGTCTGTCTATGACTTCTTTACTCCCTCTCCCTATAAGGTATTCACAGACGTTGATGCCCCAGCTCTTTCAGCATCTCCTCATACAACATGTGGTCCAGGCCCTTAATCATCTCAGTGACCCTTCATTGAACTCATGCCAATACACCTGTCCACCTACAGTTATGGTGATTTACAATACTCCAAACTAGCAGGACATCAGCTTGTAGTCACAGTCACTCATTTCCTTTTATCTCCTTTACCTTAATATCAGTTCGAAGCTTTTCATAGTTGATGTCAATTGGGTCTTTATCTCCATCTTCATTTCCACCTCTGAGAAGGCTGTAGGCAACCTCAATATCAAGCAAGTTGTCCAACATCTGCACTTTAGCCTGAAGAATATAAAGAGGTTATTTCACTTGGGCCTTTGACACCTTCAGAGTAACTCTGGAATACTCCAAATTATACAAGTGTTTATGAATCACTGGCCACACTGCCATCTAACAACACTGCCTTTTTTTAAAAAAAAAACAAACCCAAATGTATATATTCAAGTGTATGTATATTTATGTTAAAATATAAAATACACACACATATACAAACAGATCTTCTAATACCTCATACATATAATTATTTGTATACATATACACACACATGCACATAAACAAACAAAAAGATACTCCGAAGAAAAACAAGCTTAACCTCATGAAAGCACAAGGTTAAAGTAAGTCTTAAAACCTCACAAACTCTCCGTGATAAACGTCTGATATCAGACCTGTTGCCTGCAAATCACATACTGTTTCCAGTCCATACCTGAATGTATTCCAAGTTATTTAGGAGAGGTGGTTTCTTCATCCCAAAGTCATGAGGAATCAAAGTGTAGAAGCGGTTGGAGAGGTCCAAAATCTGGGATTCTGAACCACTGTCAGAAACTGCCTAAAAAAGACAACGAGCACCAAAGAAAATTACTGAGTAAGATAAGGTCTCCGTAGCAAGAGACACACACAGAATACGTGTGGACTAATACACAGAAGCAGCAAAGCAAATAGTGCTAATGCTGAAACTCTCACTGAACTAAAAAGGGCAATTCTATTTAATTGTTTTGCATATAGTAAGTCACAGCACTTGCACAGAAATACACAGAAGTTCTGGTATCAAAAAATCTAGTGGGGATTTTGCTTCTTGAAGGCAAAAGAAAGGCTTCTGGATGTGGAAGAGGTGCATGTCCTTGGCAAGGTTCTGGTCTACTCTAATAATTGAAGTTAGACTTCCCATATCTATGCTTTGCCAGGGAGCCCATGACAAAAACTAGTTACCTGTGGAAGCCACATTCTCTTCTCCAGCAAAAGAGAGCGGAGATCTTCATACACACAGCTCAGCGTTCACCCCACACTGAGCCCAGAACAATTCCTGAATCCCCCTCCTGTTCCAACATCTCTTTTGTGCTCACCTGCTGAACTTCATTAAGGATGGAATACGCGCTCTGGATCTGTCGCTTGCTCAGTTTTCCCAACGGCATCTTCTGCAGGTCAATCTGATGAAGAGTTAAATGATTAAAAGAGGGTTTCACTACATCGAAACTGTGGCAGCATTCCCTCTCTGGTCTCTGGGAAACTAATCTCTCCATCCTGGTTAAGACTGACCACACGAAGAACAGAAACATTTCAGACTTGGTTTTAAAATCTCTGTGGATTGAGGAACACTGCAATAGGAAACTAAACTAGGACAACATAAAAACAGGGTACTAAGCACCTGGCTAGAAGTTTAATATTGACCTGGTGTCAGATGGATTCCTCAATCCCTTCAGTAACCATACATTTCAGGCTGGCAAAGAAGCAAACTGAATGAAATAATTCTTGTTCTTAAGATCATCTGTGTCTCTAGGTACAACCCAGACACCTTCTTCCAACTTTATGCTATGATTATCAAGGGTCAAACTGAAAGAGGTTATAAGATTCTTCATATTAATTAATGAAAAATGAACCAGGAAAAAAAAAAAAGAAGCTAAGTTAAAAGCGGTATCTTGGGTGCCTGCATTTATCCACTGATTTAATTCATACGTTGCTTTTGTTTGTGTATTGACGGATCTTGGGAGAGTTTCAGATTTGCATTAAATCATTGCATAGGACCATCTGAGCACAAAACACTGGACAAAAGTCAAGTCCAATGGAGCCTTTTACAAAGATCATACACAGACCCTCTGGATTCTTGACAGTACTCACCGTACACGCTGCAGGTCAAACCAGCCTTTACTTAACTCCATTGGTTTAAGATTCAGCTCAAGGACAGAAGATCCTATGAAACCATGTATGTCACGTACTGTCTGGATAAGTCCCACATTATTTATTTGCTATGGAGCTAGGAAGCCCAGCTGTACACAGGTCCTTCCTACAAGCTGAACTCAGAAGGCTCTTCCAAGCTACAGAGACTGGTGTGAAAGCCCTGAAATGATTTTTTAATGGCGATTTTGACCCTGTACTGGGCTTAGGAGAACTTCCACCTTTAGCTGCAGCTAAGCATACATAAAGCCAGATACCAAGAAAAGCCAAGATGGACCGCAGAAAAGAAGAGAGGCTTCAAAACTGGTCGTGTCTTAGGGACCCAAAAGACACAAAGCCAAGATTAATAACTTAACAAAAAACAACTTGCAATAGATTCATAGCTCCTAAACTTTTGGGGCCAATACTTTCTTGTTGAGTACCATCCATCCGTATTATCTAACTATTAGCTGAAAAAATAATGAAGGATGTGTAAAAGCAAAACGGGCCATTTAACTTGGATATGCAGAATAGCTGGGGACACCTACACTAACTGTAAGTCATATAAACATGTATAAGCACTAACACATAAACACTAACACCTATAAACACATCCCCCAATAATGTGATTAAGTAATGTATGTCCTACAGAGCTCACATACAGAAAAGCACAGACACCTGGCAGAAGAGCATGCTCTGAAGTCACTGAAGCATGTTCTTGTGAAGTCCGAGTCCTGCTGCTGCATTAATCACATTATGAAATAAACGAGAAGGCAGGGGAAGTAGTTTCCCATTTCAGCTGCTGGGAAGCCATTCCTTCTTCTCACCTTCAGACCTTGGAACGGAGGTCATCCTGGCTTGGATCTACACCTGCATTTCTTCTCAGAGGTGCCACTGCATCTCCAAAACAATCGTTTCTGGAAAAGTGGCCTGGCATTCATTTGAAAGTAAAAGACCACACAAGCTCTTGGTCAGATGCACAAAGTCCACAACAAACTTATTTTTTTGTTATGGGCATAACAGACGGAGTGAGAGTATAATGGACTAAGTTAGGGGCCTCACCACATATATAAAAGCAATTTAAGCAAAATACTAAGTGGGATATAAATTGGCCACAAAAAAAAAAAAAACACTTCAGCAGAACATTATGTCACCAGAAGTCATAGAGGGAGGTCTTTAACAGTCTTCCAGAAAGCAAGCTGAAGCAGACCTCCATAGTTATGAACATTGCACAACTCATTTTATAACACAAGTACAACTCTTTATGGCATTGAGAAAGTTTGATGTGCCCAGAGGTCTTTTTCACATATAAATTATTTGAGGCTTCCCCCCTGCCTTTCCTCTAATTAGAAACAGAAGGGGCAAGGGGTGGATTTCATTAAAGGCTGTACCAACTGATTAAGCGATTGCTTTATGGTTAAGGTACAGGGTTGGGAGACCTGTGGTGTCTTTATTTCTCTCAGCTGCTTCTTTTCTGCATCAATGTGGGCAAGTCACAAACAATTTCCACTGACTGCCGATCGGTCGGCCTGGGCCGGCTTCCTTCAGGTTCCCCAGTTCCTATAAACCCGCACAGACCATCTTAACATCTGCGAGTCATTGTCCAACGGAGCCTCCAGCCACGCTAAATAAAGATAAAACGGTTAAATATTTATACGTCGCTGCTTTTTGTAGTTTAACAATTAGATCCGCAGTCACTCCTCAGCATCCCTCCTCTGAAAAAAGCAGAGGATGTTCACGGGACCTACTGTCTTTGACAACTTGTTCCTTTCAACTAGCTTTGACAGAAATGGGGCTAACTATTCACCCAGCTTTGCTTTGTGCACGTAGGCCAAAAGCAAGGCCTCCAGTGGTTGTCACTGCACTGCTCTTCTCAGCCTGGCCCTGGGGACAGGCAGGCTGTGTGCCTGGTCACCAGTGCCTGCTCTCAGCAGCAGCTCCGCTTTGCGGTGGGACAAGCTGGCAGCAGCAGCAGCACCTGAATTCACAGGAGATTTCACTGCAGGACAGTCACAGGGATCTCTTACAGTCCCCAAAGGGGGACTTGTTTGGCTTTTTTGGGGGGGGACTGGAGGGGGAAAGGGAGGAGATCTCCCTCACAAATTAACTAACCCCATTCTCGTGTTCTCTGATTTCAGAGACTGACAAAAGGCTGAGAGAGTTGGGGATGTTCAGCCTGGAGAAGAGAAGGCTCTGGGGAGACCTTAGGTACTGGAAGGAGCTCTAAAGGGGCTACAAGAATGGGGAGGGACTCCTGATCAGGGAGGGGTGCCACAGGACGAGGGCCAGTGGGGTGGGACAGTTTTAAATTGAAAGAGGGGAGATTTAGATGAGATCTCAGGAAGAAATTCTTTCCTGTGAGGGTGGTGAGACACTGGAACAGGTTGCCCAGAGAAGCTGTAGATGCCTCTTCCCTGGAAGTGCTGCTCAAGACCAGGCTGGATGGGTCTTTGAGCAACCTGGTCTGGTGGGAGGTGTCCCTGCCCATGGCAGGGGGTGGGACCAGATGATCTTTAAGGTCCCTTCCAAACTAAACCATTCCATGATTCCATGAAGATTATACTGAAGTGACTGACCCAAAGTTTCTGTTGGAAGTAAAACAATGATTAGCCACTGGTCAAGCTACTGAAGAACCACAAGACAAAGACCACTCTTGTCACTATCTCTCAAAATCCATTAGCACCAACCTCAATCAGTTCTCTGGTGTTGAACTGTCCTCAACTGTACATATGACTTGCCCAGTCCTTCCACATTTCCTTCTCTCCCCGACAGCAGATTTGTTTTTCATCTACAGCTCCTCATCCTCCTCTCCTTCAGGGGTCCTGGAAACAGCTGCACCACAAGGAACCACTTTGACTTCGAACTTTTCAAAAGGCACTGGGGACACGACAACATTTTAAGAATGGATCTGCTGTTTCCACAGAGGTTACCAAAGACGGAAGCTGCAACTGTCAGAATGAGCTTGAACTGTCCCTTCTTGGGAAGGGAACTGTCATAGTGGAGCAGACACTGAATGCAGAGCTGTCCCTGGGGATCACCTCAGGGAAATCAGTTAATTTGGAAGAAAAACAACTGATGTTGCTCTATAATAAAGTACTCCCATATTGCTCCATGACTTACTGAAAGTGAGAGGTAACAAACATCACTAAACATTGAAATTATTAGTTTATACTGACGTTTCAAGACAGGGAATTCAAGACTACAGCAGACCTCACACCAGGCCACGATGAGCCCAAACTCAACTTAGGGCTTTGTTAGGACTCGAGTCTACAACAACCAACTTACATCACGTTGAAGGTAGATATTTCAAGGAGGTTTATTGGGGCTAATACTAAATTCAAACAGCCACAAGTCATTTTCCATGTTTACCACACCAACTGTTGACAGATCAAATCTCAGTGGAAAGTCCAAATTTTCATTTCGCCATGACTTCCTGAAACGTGACTACAGATTTCAATATTTGGCATTTGATCTTCAGAGAGAGAGACAGCACGTTTAAGAACATTCTACCAAATACATTTAAATTGTGACTCAAAACCAAAACAATTTGGAAGTTTTGAAACATAAAGATGTTAGTATGAAATTAGCTTTTATTTTTTTACCTCAAAATAAATGCACATTTATCATTTATTCAAACGAAAACTGGAAAAGGGTATAGTTTTAAACAAGAGGAGACCTTAACAGAGCAAGTATCGCAAACATCCTCAGGTTCCTTATCCTGCTATTGCCCAGCTCTGTTTGGCTAAAAAAAACATGCTTGATTTTTATTTCTTTTTTTTTTTTGTCAGTTTGGTCAATTAAAAGGAACACTTGAAAGCCCCCAAATTAGAAGTGGTATATAAAACAAAACCGGGTACTCGTTCTCATCAGAATTCAGGTCCATGTGTTGCCACACATTTATATAAAACTTTCACTAAGTGTAGTACTAAATAGGACTTAGTAACCTCTTCTGCAGTTTAGCTCTTGATATCTTGTTAAGAGAAGTCAATGCGTAAGCATGTCAGAAGTCAACGCTATCGTGTAACTACAGTATAACTCTAATAGGGCTTCTAAATACTGTTCACCAGAGTGACGTCTTATAGTTGAATTTCAGTTTCAGCAGGTACTTCAGATTTACCTGAGCAACATCATACACAATATATCTGGGAAGAAAGTTAAGGAACAATTACAGTTGTTGATATCAGTAACACAGAAAAACCCTCAAAACACAAGTTGAACCTCATCTTTGAACTTAATTTACCACACAGATGCCTGTGGGATTAAACAGTTCTAACAGCTCAAACCACAAACCTTTAAATACAAATTTTCTTTAAACTTGCTTGTTAGAAACAAGCAACTACCAGGCACATGGAGAATTAATGATGGTGCA